TTGAATAACACCACTCCTAAAGTATAAGAGGAATCTATAACTGCGGGTTTAAAGGCGGGATTAGGGATAACGAAGCCTTGGGTGCAATCTTAAGTGAACTGTGTTAATTAAAGCTAGCTAGTGTATCTCGGGAGAGTGCAATAGTATATTACTGTGATTACTCGGGAGAGATTTACGGTAAGAAAAGTGTTCATGATTGATAGAGGTGTGTTGGTAAATTTGTATGACGCATAAACAGAAGGGATTCCATCAATAGGAGAAATCTTTACCTTAGCTTTTTCTCATCATTGTTTACAACCTTAGCATTTTAGTTTACAGCTGTTTAATTTACTTGCAATTTTAATTACTATAGAAACCATCAACTTGTGATTCAAACATTTGGGAAGCTGGTTCTGAAGAGTTTAGTGGGTCTAAAGATAGTGATTGATAGGTTAACTCTCTGTGGATTCGACCCTGGGCGTAATACTCGGATTATATTTGCAACGTCCGCATTGCCCTTTTTATAAGGCATAGTTGGGCGTGATCACAATACTACATTTTGCATTTAAGTAGTTTGTAATGCTTCCAAATAGTAGTACAATTATTTGGACGCCAACTCATTCAATATGAAGGAAGGTGAATACCTTTATTTTTTCTAATAAAATTAATATTATGTAAATAAAAGTTATTGTAAAATTTTACATTAATTTTGCAATTTTAAAATTAGTTTCTAATTTAACTTTTACGATATTATTTCTAAACTGTTAACCCTTATATTATCATGAGTTTATTTATTTTTAAATACTAACATTTAAGCTAATTACTAATTTAGTTATTAATTTAATTTATATTTGTTATAGTAGAATATATATTATGTAAAAAACCGACAATTTACAATATTTTAATTTAGTTACTTCTTGAGTTGTAAGTGATATGTCTATTTGCATTACTAGCGTTTGAATCTGATTTGACTATCGTGCAAAACTAAGAAATGATGGAAACTTCTTTTAATATTCCGTCTAAAAATATTTCTTACACTCACTTATTATATATAGTTATTTTTAATATCTTATGCGAAATTTAAATATAATAACTATATCTAAAAATTTAATTAAACTTATTGAATTGCCGATTGGTATTTAATGTTCAATCTCGAGAAAGTTGGCTCATTAAGCATATTCAAATAGTAGATATTCAATAGCTAAGCAGTTAAATATTTTAAAAAATTTCCTTTAGTACTTGAGAATATTGATTAAAATTAAAATTATTTACAGGGTATATTTTGGGAAAATACCAATTAAAATAGTACTATGTTGGGCCCGTGCGACAGCACGGGCTTTACTTCCGCTAGTATATATATATCTTTTTGAACCCAAAAAGAAAAGAAAAAAAACAATGAGGATGTCTGTGCATTTATAAGTGACGCAGACTGAAAGACCTTTCTCCACGCAGACCAAATTAACTTGACTTTATTGGCTAGGCATAAAACTTACAATGAATTTAAATTTTATACACCGAAAATTATATATATAATGAGGTCAGTACTTATAAACTATAATATTCATTGGTTATCTGGTAAATTGGTAACTAACGTGCTAACACATATTTAAATTCACTAATATATCACAAAAAAAAATTCCACTTTAAATTAATAAATCTTTAAATCCACTTACATTAGTAGCTAATTAAGATATGGTGATCACTAAAAGGTTACTATAATTAGGGCGGTTCGACCCAGCGCATGTTTCACAAATAAAATGACTAAGGCGAGTTATGTCATCTAGATCGAATGGATTGAAATTCTTATTTGTCCAGCAATCGTTTTCAACAGTTTTATTGTTTGGCTTATATGTAATATACCTAAAACGTAAGATAAAAAGATGATAATGACTTGTATGCAAAAACAAAGAAAGATGATAGGACACGGCAACTAGTTTTACTAGTTACTAGCTAATTGAAAGTATAAATTGCAGGCTAAAGAAACCCAAATTTCCCACCCACATTTCTTCTCCCTTCTGTTTTTGCGAGACTTAATAACTCTTCAGCTTCTTTTCCGCCGCTGCTCCCATCATCACCCCACTTTGGTATAAATATACCTTCTCACCTATTCTTAATTATCTTCTTTCTTTTTGTCTTGATCGGTATATATAGCTTATATTAGAGTTTACATTGTGTATACCGTAAAGTTGTTGCCATGTGACCAGAAGGTTACGGATTCAAGTCGTGAAAACAGCGTCTTGCAGAAATGCAGGGTAAAGCTGTGTACAATAGACCCCTTGTGGTCCGACCCTTCCCCGGACACCGCGCATAGCGCGAACTAAGTGCACTGTGCTGCCCTTTTTATTGTGTATACCGTTGAATTTTTACATCATCAAGTCATTTTTATATGTTATAGCATATTAACTTATTTTAATTTTAAGATTATTACAAATTCCACATTTTAAGCTTACCTATATATATTCGTTGGTCGATATGATACAATATAAAAATTATTTACATTGAGAAATATAGTTTGATTAAAATTATAGGCGACTAGATTTTACAACCTATTTCTTCCGAGTATAATCAATTCTATGCAAAAATTTAAATACTTACATATTTATATAACTTAATTAGATTATTTTAATATTTTTTTATCCAGCCAAGTAAATCTTATTAACAATGCGTTGCTAGCATACGTGACTCTCTTATCATTAATTCTTCTTTAACCTTGTTATCATTAATCTCCAAAATTAAGTTAGTTGTTATCTCGAATGCACGTGAAGAACTTAGAGAATAAAAACGAGAGAAAAAGGAAGCGATTTTCTTCTTAAGTGCTCTTCAATTCTTTCATGTGGATGTAGTAGCTCTGAATAAACTTGAAAATCAACCAACATGGACATGTCAAAAGTTCTTGCCAAACGAGTAATAGGGCCTTCTTTTAGCCTTTTAATGTTATGTGAATGGGGTTTTAATTTGACTTATTGTATGAAAAATTAATGAATCCATAAAATAACCTCGTACACTAGCCAATCCTGCAAATGTGATGACTACCACACAATTTATATTATGTAATACTTTGTGCTATTCATAACGTCTTTCTTGGCTTGTAACTTTCTTCGTGCTAAACATGTACACCTTAGGGATTATCCAGTGTTTTAAACGGCGTATTCGGAGCGAGCCCCAGGGCTCAAAAATGGTCCGAGGCAAAAGTTTCAAGAGGCATACGCCCAGCAATTCGGGGCGTACGCTCGGACGTTGAGGCGAGTTTTTGTAGTGAGGCATAAGCCAAATAAACTTTTTCAAATTAAAATAAATTTTCTGAATAAGTCCTTAATATAATATCTAAATTCTCAAAAGTTAGATTGTAATTACTCAAAGTCAAGACCTTTTTTTTATATTATTGCTAGACGCCCTAATTTGTGGTTTTCTCAATTATTTGTCTTTTCTACTAATCTGCTACTATCTCCCAAAAGAAACCAACAATTAATTTTTTTTTTCAAATACAAAGAAATCTCATTCTCCTCGATCCATAGCAGTAGCTTCAAAGTTCAAATGTTAGTCATTCTTTTTGTTCTGTCATGTAGAAACCTATATTCTTTTCAATTCAAACTACTTGTTCTTATAAGCAACATATAATGGATTGTTTTGACTAGTTTGTTATGGGAATGGAGCACATCTATATATATTTTATATTTATTTATAGTTTTCTTCAATTTTAATGCAATTTTACCTATTTAAAAATATTTATTATAATTATATTATTTTATAAAATATTAAAAATTAAATATTTATGGGTCTAACGCCTCACTGACATATATAAAATGACTCACCTTACACTCGCACCTTTTAAAACATTGGGATTATCATAGTTTCTCTTTTGCTATTTCTGAAATCTATACCGACCTATAATTTTGTTTCTGGACATATTTCAGATAAGCCACTCACCAACTGTTTTAATGTCAATCTCTACCTTTTGAATCATCATATACAGTCGAATTAGAGAAAGAGAGAGAGAAAAGTATGTTTGCTAAATTCCGATAAAAATGGAAAATTGCAGAGAGAGAAGACATGGCAAAGGGAAATTACGAGAAGGCCATTGTTTCACTCCAGAACCTCCTCAGGTTTGGACCATCGTATTTATAACATTAACTGAAATATGCTTTAAAAAGGAATCGTAAGATACTTTCGTTTTTAAATATTTAGAAAATGAACCAAAGTCGTTCCTTTAATTTTGTTCAAAGTTGTGTTTTAAACTTCTTCGACAAAAACATTTTCAAATATCTAGATGCTTAAACAGTTTTTCATAAAAGTTATTAAAAATTTATTTTATATTTGAATGATTATTCTTAAAAAAGATAATATATATATATATATATATATATATATATATATATATATATATATATTTACGTAGTCGAACTATATTGTAACATATATGTTTATATAATTTTGTATTTATTATAGAGTAATAATTACTAAAGGAGTAATAGATGCAGTGTGGTACATAATAGCACTTGCTTAAGAATCTACATTTCTTACTTAAGTAGCAATTTAATAAACCAAGAGTATTAATTATGGGTGTTGGATTTGGAAATCATGCAATTGAAGTGAGAATGAAGAACTGGAACCGGTTGTAGCAGAAAGAATTGATGAAATCACAGCTGAGTTACAAACGACAGGCTGCAAATCCTTCGACCCTGTTCAAAGGATCAAGACTGGTTTTTATTATTTCAAAACAGAGATATATGAGTAAAGCCCCTTTGTTCCCTTCTTTTTCTTTTCCCTAACATGTTAAAAATGTGTCTTTAATTTTCATACAATGGTAATTAAATAAAACAATTCCTTGAAATGACAATTCCTAATAAACTAATTTCTTTCATGTATCAGCAAAAACTCAGAACTGTTTGATAAACTCAAGAAAGGACAGGAGCCCAAGGTATACGATCTATATTACATTTTTTTTTACTTTGTAATTTAATTTTCTATAGCTGAAAATAAAAGTATCCAACAATGTAACAGTTTCTGGTGTTTGCTTGCTCTGATTCACGAGTGAGTCCATCCCATGTGCTGAATTTTCAGCCCGGCGAGGCTTTTATGGCTCGAAACATCGCCAACATGGTCCCTCCTTATGACAAGGTCATTTATTAGTTTAAATTTTATACATTAGCTTCTTTTTTCTTTTCTATATTCATTTAGTTAATTTACTGGACTTTTGTGTTGGAATTGGATTGCAACAGATAAAATACTCGGGAGTAGGAGCTATAATAGAATACGCTGTTCTCCATCTTAACATAGAAAATATTTTAGTCATTGGCCATAGTGCCTGTGGAGGTATTAAGGCTCTCATGGAACTCCCAGAAGATGGTTCTGAATCAAAGTATGTATCATTAAGTAACTGAATTTTTACAAATTAACAGAAAGAAAACAACGTTTAACTTAACAATTAATTATGTTATGTTACTAATTCAAGAAATAAATATATATGTGTTGATTTAGTGATTTTATTGAGGATTGGGTGAAAATTGGATTACCTGCCAAGGCCAAAGTGCTAGCTGAACATGGGGATAAAACTTTTGAAGAGCAAGTTAAATGCTGTGAGAAGGTAAAATAGTGTTCTCACATTAATTGTCTTTTTTACTTTTGTTTCTAAATATCAACTAGTAATTTATTACATAATAATGCGATTGAATAAACTACAGGAAGCTGTGAATGTATCACTAGCCAATCTGCTGACATACCCATTTGTGAGCGATGCATTGGTGAATAAGAATTTGGCGTTGAAGGGAGGTTACTATGATTTCATTAATGGAAGGTTTGAGCTCTGGGGACTCAACTTCGGTCTTTCTCATCCTTGTTATATATGAACTCAATATCACCATTTTCGGGCGGGAGAAAATACCTCTTGTTCTTGTCTTTTCTTATTGTATTCGTCATTTATAAGTGCTAGTTTGAATTTTTAATTTAAATAAAAAGAGAGAATGGACAAGGATTCTCCCATCTTATGATAGAAGAAAATAGTTGTGATTTTTATTTGTGATAATAACTCTGCTTTGCGCAGAAAAATAATGTATAATGATAACTTTGTTATACTAGTTCAAAGAGTGTGGTCACAATAATTTTCATTCTGTCTTGGGCTTTATTGGGTAAAAGATAGAGGAATTTTCATAAATCACTATAGCTTAGAACCTAGTAATTATAATTTATCTAATTATTATTTGTAGCTACTATTCAACACTCGTCAAACAACGTTCGCAAATCAACATGCTTTTATAGACAAAATATTTTAATATACACTCATCATGTTAAATAGTTTTTAATTATTCGTGGAATCTAATTGAAGTTTAAATGGCCAAAAATAATTTTAGCTATTCGAAATGAGACAACTTTATTTTTCATTTTGTATTTGGATAAAAGTACAATTAATTATTAGAAATAGGACAGTATTGTCATCCATTTCATTTTGGCTGAATACTAATTGCTCAAAATATTATCTAAAAATAGAACTACGCCGATAAAGCACTTTAAACAATAACATACTTTCATTTCATCATCGTTGGTTAGGGTGTACAAAGGATACTGATAAACCACACCAAACTAACAAATACAGTCAAACAGAAAATAAAACGGGTAATGGATTGGTTTAATTTGGTTTGGCATGTAAAAGAACCCAACTATAATATGTCTGGTTTGAAATTAACTAAAATAGACAATTCGAGACCAAACCAACCCGATATTTGTATGTCACGACCCCAAAACCAACTCGGTCGTGATGACACCTATCGTGAAACTAGGCTAGCCAACTCATTTCCAAAACAAACTACATTTTCATTTAAAACTTGAGAAAAACCATTTTTCAAAAGAAATCCGATAAAGATATAAATCCAGTTTAACAAAGAGGAAAAAAATATAAGCCCGACCTCGGGTGTCACTAAGTCATTATCAAAATACTACAACTGTTCGAAATGAAGCAAGACTAACATAGTCTGAGAATAGCCAACATTATACACTAAGAGGAAGATAAGGAAGGAGAAAGCCAGACAACTACCTCGCTATCTCCAAGGAAAGTCCACAGTTAAAATGATCACCAACCACTACCGTGGCCCGAGATACCTCGATCTGCACACAAGGTGCAAGGGGTAATGTGAGTACACCAACTCAGTAAGTAACGAGTCCAAACTATGGACTAATAGGTAGTGACGAACCAAACCTCAACAGGTAATACAATTAAACTGTATAGAAAAGTAGACATGCTTGCAATTCAAGTAGAAACTCAACAGTAAATAATACAGTCTGAAAAGTACGGAGTATAAAGCTCAAGAAATCTCTATGTACCAATGCAAAGATAGCATGATCAATGTTCCGTGTACCTCCTCTCACAAGTGCTCAACCACTCGGTACTATATATGGCCATCCGGGGCAGGGAAGATCCATCTTGGAATATATACACATCCCTGACCGCAGTTATCCAGTACCGAGGAAGGGCATTCCAGCCCTGTGGAGAAGATCCATCTCCAGGTATAAATACTTCGGACAAGATCTATGTCCAGGGAAGATCCATCTTGGAATATATACACATCCCTGACCGCAGTTATCCAGTACCGAGGAAGGGCATTCCAGCCCTGTGGAGAAGATCCATCTCCAGGTATAAATACTTCGGACAAGATCTATGTCCAGGGAAGATCCATCTTGGAATATATACACATCCCTGACCGCAGTTATCCAGTACCGAGGAAGGGCATTCCAGCCCTGTGGAGAAGATCCATCTCCAGGTATAAATACTTCGGACAAGATCTATGTCCAGGGAAGATCCATCCCTCAATATCATCAATTGTGCTCACTGGGGGTGTATTACAGATTCCGAAGGGGCTCCTACAGCTCAAGCACTATAATAATCATCAACATAACCTCTGCGGCGTGCAGGCGGACCCATAACTATCACTCACAATCAGGCTCTCGGCCTCACTCAGTCGTCACTCTCCAGTATTACACACACAGGCTCACAATGTTATGATACTAGCTCGAACAATAATATGAGGTGCCAAATAACAATAATCAATACTAAAGCATGATATAAAATGCATGAAGAGGACTGAATATAGAATACCAATGAAGCTAATAATATGATAGCAAGAAATGACCTCTCGGATCTCAACAAAATCGACGTGAAGCCCGAACAAGATATCTAGTATGTTTTCACAGCATATTTACTTAATCACATGATAGAAACACGAATATCAACAAGAAAAAGTTACTAAGCGGTGCCATGGAGTGATCTAGGCCACAATTCTCACGGTGCACGACCACACGCCCGCCACTTGGCATTTACGTCAACTCAATAGTAATCATAGAACACATAGTTCGGGGTTTTGGACCCTCATAACCAAGTTTGGAAGTTTTACTTACCTCAAGCCAAGCGAAACTCTAGCCCGCGATGCCCTTGCCTCTCGATTTGGCCTCCAAATGCCCCGAATCTAGCCACAATAAGTATATTATCATCAATATACGCTAAAGAAATTAAACCCATACAAAAATTACAAAATTAACTCAAAAATTCCGAAATTGGCCAAACCCGACCCCTGGGCCCACGTTACGGAATTCGGTAAAAATCTCATCACTAGAATCCTTATCCTTCCATGAGTCTATACATACAAAGAACATCGAAATCGGACCCTAAATGGCCCCTCGAATCCCCACCGGAAACTCTCCAATACCAAGCCCTAATTCTCCAATTTTAACCCTTAATTTCCAATAATTTCAAGTCTAATAAGTAAGATAATGCCATAGAATTGAGTATTGGGTTCAAAAATCTTACCTCCAAGCGTTATCCATTGAGTCCCTCTTCAAATCCTCTCAAAACGTTCTCAAACCATCTCAAAAACGGTGGAACAAAGTTGAAATTTGCGAAGGTAGGTTTATATAGTTTCTGCCCAGGCATTTCCGCACCTGCAGATAAATTATCGCATCTGCGGTCCGCACCTGCGGACAAATCTCCGCTTCTGTAGATATCCACTTAAAAGACCTCATTCGCACCTAGGGTCAATCCACCGCACCTGCGGGCTCGCAGGTGCACCTCAACTCCCGCTTCTGCGCTGCCCAACCGCTTCTGCGGCCTTTCCTCACTTCTGTGGTCATCGCATCTGCAGTCCCCTAACCGCAGGTGCAGTTATGATAGAACTAGCAGCTTTAGCTGCATTCTCCAACTTCCAAACTTTCCGATAACCATCCGAAATCATCCCGAGGCCCCCGGGCCTCATCCAAAAATACGTACAAGTCACATACCAATATTCAAACTTGTACCAAACCTCGAAATACTCAAAACAATACTGAAACACCAAATCACCTTCAGATTCAACTCTAAGGATTCCAACACTTCTAAATTCTGCAAACCATCAAAAAGTCTATCAAATCTCACCTAAATGACCTGAAATTTTTAACACACCTCACAAATGACACTACGGACCTACTCCAATTTACAAAATTCCATTCCGACCACTATATCAAGATTTCTGTTGCCGACCGGAAAATGCTAAATTTCTAATTTCGCCAATTCAAGCCTAAATCAACCACGGACCTCCAAATTACATTCCGAACATGCTCCTAAGTTCCAAATCACTTAACAAAGCTATCCGAACCATAAAAACCAAATTCCGAGATCATTTACTCATAAGTCAACTTCCGGTTGACTTTTCCAACTAAATGGCCAACTTAAGAGACTAAGTGTTTCATTACACTCCAAATCTACTCCGAACCAACCGACACGATGCAATGAAATGTAGTTGAACAACACATAAGAAAGCAAAAATGGGGGAAACGGAGGGGTAACTCATGAAATGACCGGCCGAGTCGTTACATCCTCCCCCTCTTAAACAAACGTCTGTCCTTGAACGAGTCAAGAAACATACATGAAGCCTCAAATATGTGAGGATATATGCTCTGCATCTCCCGCTCTGTCTCCCAGGTAGCCTCCTCTATGGGACGACCTCTCCACTGCACTTTCATTGAAGTTATATCCTTTGATCTCATCTTTCGAACCTGGCGCTCCAAAATTGCCACTGGCTTCACATCATAAGTCAAATTACCGTCTAACGGAACCGTACTGAAATCCAAAACATGATACGGATCACCAATATACTTCCGAATCACCTTCACGTTGTCTAAAGCATACTGCACCAAGTTTGTACCCAAAAGCCTAGCCTTGCCGGGCTCAAACCAACCAACTAGAGATCTACACTGTTTCTCGTATAAAGCCTTATATGGAGCCATCTAAATGCTCGACTGATAACTGTTGTTATATGAAAATTCCGCGAGCGATAGAAACTGATCCCATGAATCACCAAAATCAATGAAACAAGCGTGCAACATGTCCTCCAATATCTGAATAGTGTGCTCGGACTGCCCGTACGTCTGAGGGTGAAAAGTTGTGCTCAACTCAACCTTAGTACCCAACTCTCACTTCATAGCCCTCGGATCTGAGAGTACCTCTATCTGAAATAATGGAAACTGGGACACCATGCAAGTGAACAATCTCTCGGATATAAATCTCTACCAATCGCTTTGAAGAATAAGTAGTACACACAGGAATGAGGTGCATGGAATTGGTTAGCCGATCCACAATCACCCAAATAGTATCGAACTTCTTCAAGGTTCGTGGGAGCCCATCTACAAAATCCATGGTGATTCCCTCCCACTTCCACTCTGGAATATCAAACTATTGAAGCAAGCCATCCGGTCTTTGATGCTCACATTTCACCTGCTGATAGTTGAGACACCAAGCTACAAATCCCACAATATTCTTCTTCATTCTTCTCCACCAATAATGCTGTCTCAAATCCTGATATATCTTCACGGAAACTGGATGGATGGAATACCGCGAGCTATGGGCCTCCTCCAGAATCAACTCCTAAAGCCCATCTACATTGGGCACACATATCCGGCCCTGCATCCTCAACACTCTATCATCACCAATAGTCACATCTCTGGCATCGTCGTGTTGAACTCTGTCCTTAAGGACAGGAAAATGAAGATCATCATACGGGCGCTCTCTGATGTGATCAAACAAGGAAGACCGAGAAACCACACAATCTAAGACCCGATTGGGCTCCAAAATATCCATTGGCCAAGGCCG